CGATAGGTCTTGATAAGTAGCTCTATAGGTGCGCTTTGTCGTGTGGAAGCTTGTAGTGCCGGTGATGTCGTCGGAGAAGCCGCCGTCGGCGAGCTCCGCCGCTCCCGCGCCATTCCGTGCCACCTCCCCTGTTTTTCGGTCACTGACGCGCGGGCCCGTGGGATGCGTGGACCCCGTCTGTCAGCGACTGTGGATTAGAAAGACAGTTCATTTTTTCAGATTTGAATGCCTACTTTGGAAAATCATAAGTGGAGTTTCAGAGGTCCCATTTTGGTGAACTAAATTTTGTTGTGTTTCTTATGCAGTGTAGTTTTTTATAAAAATATGAAATGTACATTTTCTGGTATTGTTTCACGGTGATTAAAATGTATTTAAATCAATGCCTTTTGTATATTTACAATCTTGTAAATTAGATATCTTGAGCTAGAAATGTGATAAAATTGTGATTCCAGTTTTGTTAGTTTTGTGTTGACATGATCTAGCTAGGAAAAATAATAAGCTTGCTGGAAACTTGATTGAAATATGATCTTTCTATTTATCTATTAATAAATGGTATTCTCTGAGGAAAATTGTAGAAATAAAAATATGTAATATATTGCTATGCAAATTTTTGTACAGTAGTATGGCACTAATATGATGCTAAGAAAAATATATAATCTATTGTTTGACACTTTTCTATAGGGTTTACTATTTTCGCTAAAATAGACCTTGCTAGCTTGTGATTTTTGTAAAGAGTTTTATACTTGGTAAAATGCCATGAAACATTTACAGTAGTCTTCTGGTAGCACTTGTAAGCCACTGTAATTTTCTGACAATTTATTATGCACATTTGTTATATGTTTATTATTTAACCTAAGTATCTTGGTAAATTGATAAAGGCATTTAAATAAATAGTTTGGGATTGGACATTATGTTTTCTTGAGTTTATTTGATGTCCCTGAACTATTGTTGTACTTGGTAGTGTCCAATTTGGAATGTTTGTATGCAGTAAAAATATCATTGCTTTATAATTCGGGTGAGAAGGGTTTTCGGATAGATTCTGTGGTTTGGCATATTGCATAGTCAAAATGATGTTTGCTGTAAAAATAGTTAATAAAAAAGTTGTAGGAAACTTCTCATTCTATCTTGTGTTAAAATTTCAGGGCAATAGGCTAAAGAGTTTAGGAGTTATAGCTGTTTAAAGTTAGTATTCCGAAATACTTGTTCTCTGGAATTTCTGGACAACACTGTATTGATTGCCTGTTTTGCTTAGGATAAATTGTGAATTAGCTTTTGGTGATTAAATAAGAGTTTTAGGAAAATTTATAAGATTTCCAGAAAGTCGAAGATCACAGCATTTGGATAAATATAACTTCCGTTATGATATAAATTTGTAACTGTCATGTGTAGCTTAGATATTGCCTTGTGTGAAATTTGTAAATAACTAGAGAAGAGATATGCACCTACTAGGTAAATAAGGAGTTAGCATTGTTATCATTTTGCTACTTAACATCATTGTCACAGTATTTACATTCCTTTATGACATTCTCCGTGATCCATCTTATGCATTCATGGTACTTACTTATGCATATGCATGCAATAGGTGCAACCGAGGGGATCACACTAGTGGAGCTCGACGCCGAGCCGCAGGAGGAGAATCAGGAAGTTCAGCACCTGAAGGTTCCCGGAGAAGGAGAGCCTGAAGCCGATCACCTTCCCAAGTGCCCCGATCACCAGCCTTCGATGTTTGTGAAAGGCAAGCCCTAGAGCCTTATAAGCCTCCCTACTTTATTAATGTCACTTAAAGTTATTCGTATTGCTGCATTACGTGACAGGAGTTGTTTAGAAACACTTGCTGCATATTACCTTCTTTGACCAGAAATATCTACCATGAATCCTATGTAAGTCTAGGAAAATTTATCATGTTTAGCTCTCCTTAGACCGGTAGAAGTCGGGTCACCTGCGAGCTATAGGTGATAACTTGATCACGGTTGGCTATATGGTGCTATCGTGGAACATAACCTGGTATTGTTGAATAAATGGAGACCAGGCGGAGTCTTATATGTGGTATTGTAGTGATTTCGTCTGTGTCGTTTAAGGACCGGCCGTTGGAGGTCATCTTGTCATGTTGAACGCAGCCTCTCACATAGTTGGCCGGATAAGTCGTTCCGACCGCGAAGCTGAGTAGCTCAATTCAGGTCGGGACCACAAGCGGTAAAAGTGCGCACTCTGGATGGTAGTAAGGATGTGCGAAGAGCCATTGGCGTAAGCCCAAGGGTGGGTTAGAGTCCTGATCACCCTTGGCAGAATGGTTCTCCGATTGTGCGGCGCTGGTCATACCCGCGAATTTGGTTCCTAAGTTGTACCAAAGGTGACCTAAGATAACCAATGATCTAGTCTGCCTGGGTGTGTGTTAGGAATAATTCCCTAGCTGGGTAGGAATCGATTCGAATCGCCATCTCTCCTAGATAGTGAGAACTTGACTTGAGTACACTTCATCATAGTAAATGATGGAAATGATGGTTATGAGATTATGCAAGAACTCAACTGGATATGGTTATTATTGTTATGACATAATGATACCAACATGTTTGGCATAGGATAGTTGCTAATCTAGTATGAGATAGGATTAATAACTGGTGATTCACAATTAAAGAGATGTTGGATAACTTATGCTTTTTTCTGCAAATAATATTTATCAGCTCTACTTATAAAGCCTTGCATACTCCTTGGTGTCTTAGTATATTAGTTGGACGGGTAAGTCTAGTTGAGTACCTTCTCGTACTCAGGGTTTCATTCCCATTGTTGCAGATAACGTTATGTATCATGGCTACTGTAAGAACTGTCTTGCTCCTGCCGGGGATGAGGACTAGGACCATGGGCAATGGTCAATTCTATATATCATCTCATCTTTGTGCTTTTGGTGGAGATGACTATGACACTGGCTTGTATTAAACTATGTGTGGTGTTGATGATTAAACTACTTGCTTCCGCTACTTTCAAACTCGGTTTGTAATAATTATTCGAACTCTGATGTATGAGACATATTTGTGAACTTGTGATGTAACATGTGATGAGTTGTGTTGAATCTCTACGATCTTGGTTTGTATGTTGGTTGTTTGAGATCCTTCGCGATTTCGTTGGACTACCGGATTTATATGGGCTCAAGTATGACGGTTTTTTCGCTTCGGTGATTGCTATTGTACTTGCGCTCTTATAAATTAGACGGTTCTGTGACAGTCGTCGTCGCCGTCGCAGCCATCAGGAGTTAGGGTTCAGGGTTGGGGAAGGAACGAGAGTGAGAGGAGAGTGTGGGAGTACTTGGGCGGCGAGACAAGGAGAATGGGCCGAAACCGCGGTCGTGGCGGGTTGACTGGGCGGAAACCACCGTCGCGACGGCACGAGAGCCAATTTTAACTGGTTTAGAGAGTTAAGAGACTGCGCGTGTCTAGTTTTCGAGTTAGAGGGCTAGAAACAAACTGTAGCCATAGTTGGAGGGCCAAAAATGAACTTTTTCCTTTTTTTTATCTCTCTTAGTCCTCCTTAGCTATTTTGTTGATCTTAGTTATATATTCTTATCAAGGTTCAACATCGTCAGTTAGACCCACCACATGTTATCCTCCTAGCTTAGCTTATGTGTGCTCTCTTCCTGATCTCATGCCCTAAATGTCTCCCATAAAATGATTATGAGATTGTCTATGTCTGCCCTCGAATCATGTTGGCACTCCGGTACCCCAATATTTTTAGTATTTGACACTGATTAGTTCAAAACAATGCCATATATGAAACAGACAATGGAGTACTATTTATTATAATTTGTGATTATTGGATAGATCAAATAATTCTTCTATCCATCCAAAAATAAGATGTAGCTTGAATCGAAAACTTCTATGTACAAACTACAATGGTCAAGCAACTACTGAAAATATATGTCATATAACTATTCTTATATTTGAGAGGATGGCATACAAGAAAGGTTCCACTTTCTCAACTTCTACTCCTTTTTCTTTGACGTTTTTTCAAGTTCGAAGTTGAACTTTATATTCAAGTCCGCTTTGTTCAACCTCCTCAATGGGGCGTCACCGGTCCATAATTCTTACTCCTCAGTCCTTTATTAACTGTCGCTATGTAAAAAAGCGTGTTGGTTAAACTTTCTTAAATTTGACTAGATTTATAGAAAATATTAACGACATTTGTATCTCCAAATAAACTTATTATGAAATACATTCAATGATCTATCTAATGATAATAATTATGTATTATAAATATTACTATTTTCTTGTATATATTTGGTCAAACTTGAATACATTTTACTTTTATGTTGAGAAGCGAGAACGACAGTTATTTAGCGACAGAGCGTATCCATGGGTACTAAGTAATGCACAACCAAATGTGCAACTAGAACACCACAAAAAAAAAGTTCAACATTATTCACAAACTCTAAAAAAGGCCATTCACGGGGGATGAAGAATTGCATTTTGTCTTAAATACAAATTACATCAAGCCTAAATCAACAACTCATCTTATTAGTTGTCCCTTTTAAACAACCGTGCTCAAAACGAGAGAGTACGTACGTGCCTTGATTTTCTTTTGCAAGGTTCGTATTACATGTTCTTATTTTTCATCATCTAAAAAAAATCTTATATAGAATAATATAGTCTCTGATCACTCGTTTAGTTAGTCGAGCATCATGCTTTTCAGTTCACAACGGTGGAGACATGAATTGTATTGCACAACATCTACTATCTCTCAATCGATCTCATCAGAAAGGCAGGATTTATTTCGACAATAATGCAGGACTGCATCTCTGGACCCTGAACTATATATGATGAGTACGTATCTTGTGAAAGACACATCATACTACTAGAGTTCCACGTGTGTGGTACTCGCATGCATGTCTTGTTTATTATGGGCAACACACAGAGACTGACAGACACGGACACGGACACGACACAAGAGCTCGATCGCGCTTTGGTGATACTCGAACATGTCATGCAGCAAATCCCAGGAGTCCTCACCGCTCACGGCAGAGTGTAATCTGTAAATAATTAAAAGAAGAATCACAGACAGACACACATTCAGTGTTACTGCATCTTGTTGATACTGCTGATGCATGATAATCACAGAATAAACGACCGGAGCAAACAGTAAAGAATGAAGATCAGCAAGAATGAGATACTATTGTAGACATCACACATTAGTTTGTTGCTTCCTTAATTACCTACCTCCGCACTTGTAGCCGACGGGGCGGTCGACGAGGTTGCAGCGTTTGGGGATGGTGATGGCGACCTCGGCCTTGATCCCGGCGCTCTTGGCGGTGTTGGACAGCATGACGGCGCAGAGGCACTTGGGGCTCTGCTTCCCGATGCTGTGCACCGCGCTGCAGCAGGAGCTGGACGGCACGGAGCTGGGGTCCTCCGCCGCCGACGCGCACGGCGCCAGCTTCAGCGCCATCGTGTCCGGAGGCATCGCCCCGCACTCGCCCGCGCCGTCGGCACCCGCGGCGCGGCGAGGCAGGCCGCGGCCACGACCAGAGCGACCACAAAGACACCCTCGTCGTCACCTCACCCCTGGCCATGGCAACGCTAGCTACGACTACTAGGTACCTGTATGCACGTGCTTGCTTCTCCTAGTGATTTGTGCGCAGCTGTGTAAGCTTGTGCCTTCATGGCTGCCAGGCAACTCCTTATATAGTGGTGTCGAGCGTGTAGGTGTAGCGACCATGAACCGACCTCGTGATGGCCGGGGACGATCGGTGCGGCGAGCACTAGCCGCGCACCGTCACGCGGCGTGGGCGCGTGGCAGCACGAGGCGCCTCCGCCAGTGGCGTCGTGCAAGCTCGGCCACACGTCTCAGCCGGCTCAGTGCGCGCTGGTGGGTAGCCGTCCCCGCGCGCGGCCCGGCGGTGGTCGATGTGGTTGGGCGGCCCAAAGGAACAGAGTGTGAACGGCTGAACGCCGTGGCATGACAATGGGGGCGCCGGACACATGGCTCCGGCGTAACCCGATCGCCATGCGCGGTCGTTCGTTTCAGTGGACGCCACTTTTTGATGTTGCCTCTCAAAGTGCGGCGGTTGCGCTCATTCTAGCAAAGAAAAATATAGCAGGGCAGCTGTTTCTTACAGGCCTGTGCTTGAGGTGTCGGTGGTGCACTGCCAGGGGAAGTGCAGGGTGGACAAGGTGTACAAATGTACACTCAATGATTCTGAAAAAAAAAACTAGTATGTATATACAAATGTATGCTTATTGGATCATTTAGTGCACATTTCAGATCGTAAAACAGAAATAGATCGCTTTCATACTATTCGCATCTCATTTCACGAGCTCGCCCATGCTGCATATATAGTTTGCATCCTCACCAGTGGAAACCACGTTATCCCTGTGTGCTGAAAAATCTTCAAGCAAACCCAAAAAAAAGTCAGGGAAATAAATTATGTCTGGCAACCGACAGGCAAATCACTACATGGATAGCTCGATAGATAAATCACTACTATACTCGCACCTTTTACGACTACATCGTATCCAATTTTGGCCTCGGCAGTAAGCTGTCGGCAGTGATAGTCGTAGTCATCACCGTCACTATCTGAGACCGTCTGCGATGTACACTCACACCGCCGAATTGGCTTATGATCCGTCCGTGATAAAATCCTTACTTCCGTCGCATTGGAGCATGACCCGGCTGTGTTGGTATACACTAACACCGCTGTGTTGGCTTATGATTCGTTCGTGATCAGGTCGTTGTCTTCATCATATTAGAGCACGACCCGCCTGTGTTGGCTTATGATCCGTCCGTGATCAGGTCGTTGTTTCCATCACGTTATACCACGACCCGCCTGTGTGGGTGTACACTAACACCGTCGTTTTGACAAATGATCTGGATCACAGTCGTCTTGCATAACGATCCAATTGCGTGCAGTGCGTGTTCACCGTCGCTTTGGCGCCCAACACGCCTATGTTGAGGTGGACATCACCGTCACTTCAGTGTATGAACCATCTAGTCATTGGCAATGGTCACCGTCGCATTGCAATACGATTCGGAGGTGAAACACTATTGACCCCTGCCCCATGAGACAAATAGCGGCGGTGTTGTCCGTCTGCTTCACCAACGACGAGTGTTACAGCGGTGATGACAAAGCAGACAACGGCCCTTACATCCGACGGTGACAGAATTGCATCTGATTTTAATAATTTATTTACTAATTCAGATGGGCCTTAATAACTTACAGAACACACCATACAGATATAATCATTACACACCATTCATCATGTCCACAACGAAGAGTACTTTTTATGATAAGAAGCGACACTAACATAACAACCGTATCAACTCAAGAATTAACACAAGCGGAACATAGATAGAAGAATAAAGGTTCTGCTCCCTACAAACTTACATAACGAAAACGAGGTAGATGTGCTCCACTCCTTCAGATTGGCACTCCTGCTTGCAAGGCAAAGCTTCCTTTAGCTTGATAGCTAGTGCACCATGGAACCCATCTTCTTCCTCCCTTAGCCATTGCAGGAAAATCATTCAAAAGCACTTAGACTCCACAACCTACACAAAGCAGCGGCATTAATAATATTCAACATACAATTGCTTTAGTTACCATGGCAAAATTAGACTGTGTATAGAATCAAAACAACTGCCTACCTGAAGAAAGAACAACATATGCAACTTTACTACTCTCCTACTGACTCCATGAACAAGGGAACATAAGAAAGATAGTGAGATCCCTCCGAACGTAGCCTCCAGGTAGGTCTACGATACCGCACGACCTGGCTAGGAAGACAAGAACTTTTCTGAGGTTCATGTCATATGCCATAAGTTTTTTTATCCTCGCCAACAAGGAAAATCAAATTCTATTCCAAATAAACTGCAATCACTCTGTAGTCTGTGCATCGCAGACATTGTAACCAAATTGAATATTGTCCCGTCCAAATATCTCCAGCGTAGTCACTGTATGCTTTAGTGTCCAGTTATCAGTACCATAGTCTTCTAGAATCCAAAATGAAAGCTGATACTTCCCGAACATATTAGCAGTACATAAACACAACTGACCCTGAGCTTCATGGATAGAGATTGCTTCACCACGTGGCCTACGAATTTTCCTCCATGTCTTTTCCTGCATATCAACAACAACTATCTGGGACAACTCCAGCTAGTGCATAAAACCATTAAGAAACACATTTGTCGAATATGTGCGTACAACACCCTCGTCCCATTCAGAATTCTTAAACATCCATGCTGTTGTTGGCGCAAAAATATATCAATGCACCTAGCACACAGCAAACTAGAAGGATCTGCTTGATGGAGCAAGGCTGGAGTTCCGCTTGGCTTCAACGCAGGACCTGTCGACCCTGCGAATTTCTCCCGAGGGTGTGCCAGTCAATTTGACCTGCAATTAATAAGGAGAGAGAGAGTTTATTAGTAATTTAAGGTGGAACATGTCGGTCTTTTCTAGACAGTTCCAAGTGTGCCGCTTCGGAGCAGCCAGACGGGAAAAATCAACTAAACAGCCGATACGAGAAGAAATAGACTGTTAAGGACTGTAAAGCTCGTGGGTCGTAATCGATTTTATGGTAACGAATGCAATGCACCCAGATATAAGTAACATCATCAGCAAGATAAATATAACCAGTATAAAGCATTAAGCCGATAAGTTTAATGAGAAAGAATATAACATGCAAACAAATCGACTGTCTAGTATGAATAGATCTACAAACGCTCTGAATCTAATCTGTTACCATTAATAGTGAGGTTCGACCGGATCGATGCAGCTATGATGATAACAACAAACTAAAGCCAAAGAATCCATAAAACCATTTATACATTGACAGGTTTCTGAAAGACACGCTATATATGTGAAAGTACAGGCGGATCAGCTGAAATAGCTGATTCAAGTAGAAAAAGGATCACAGCATGAGAACAATCGACCATTTAATACGAATAGATTTATAAACTCATCAAATCTAACCCATTATCTTTAACAGTGGGGTTCGATCGAATCAATGACAGCCATAATAAAGACAACAGATTAAACCTTTAAAACAAACAGATCTATTCACATTTAACAGAATCATGAAGACACACTATGAGCCTTAAAGTTTGAGCAATCGGCTATTTAGCCGATGCAGGCATAGCAAACAGCCAAGGTCACGCCTTGTCGAAAGCAAGTCTACCAACTAGCATCCTCCGATCTAAAGTGCCATCAGTGGGGATCGACCGGATTGTTACAGCCATAATAGCGAGCTATAGACCAGATTTAACTAGCTAGTAAACCTTCTCAAGATCAAACATGCATTGACCGCGTACTATGCATGATCAAGATCGAAGTAGAACAACCGATGAAACGTAATCCGTTGTTTAAAGTAAGAATTGTCGCAATGTAACAAAATAAATGAGTGACTAAAGGGATGTGAGGCCGATCTAGATCGATCTCGATCGGATAGGTTGATATTGTTAAAACTAATGACAATAAGAACATCAGCAAAATCGGTAACTTAATGAATCTACCCGAAGGATGCCACCCTTAGATAGAGCCGATAACTTGACCTTAATCTAATTCGAGCAGTGGAGGTCGAACTTAACCGATACAGCCATACTTGAATTAGATAAGGATCGATAACTAGCTTATACTGGAGCTCGCAGTGGAGGTCGAACTTAACCGATGCAGCCTTACAAACAGAAGTATAAGCCATGACGGTACTTACAGACAAGCCAGAGGTCGGCCGGACCGATGCAGCCCTGCTTGTTGAAGAACTCACCGAGATCTACACTACTCCTACTCCTAAGGGTTGGCGTAAAGCCAAAAAAAGTAATTGGTATTGATTGATTGGATGTCTCTTTATAATAGCCGGGTCCAATATTTATATCCGGAACCTAAGCATGAAGCCAAGTACGACTTATTATAACCTTTAGTATAAGAGGAAACATTCCTAACTTGAGATAACTTGGACCCTAATTTTTTCTTTTTTGTAGAGTCCGACATGTCTTTCCCGACGTCAACTGTAGCTCATTGTCGTTATCTGCTGACGTTATCCGAAGAGAGCCAATTCTAGTGCTGCATCTGAATCAGCTGATATTGATCCTCATGCAATCAATTCCTTGATGACACAATCTTGGAAGCTTCGAGTTCCCACGTTCTTCTTCCCAAATTTTGGTTTAAACAGCTGCACTCTTAGATGAGTAGATGCTCACATCTACGGACTCACCGGCCCTCTTCTTCCCATATTCAATCATATGGAAGTGTGAGGAGACTATCGGATCAAACCCCAAGCGAGTTGAACCAAAAGAACGGTTGTTATCCGGTAGTAACCACCATTTGTTAGTCACCGGACTGTAGATAACATAGCAAAACCCAACGCACCAGCATAGGATGAGCCCACGGTAGCAATCTGAGATCACAACATCCTCAATGGGGAAAGGAAAGAAGGTTAAGGAGGGGTATTCATCGTTGATGCTGGTGAACTTGC